GAGGAAGGGGAAGGGGCATTATTGGATATGTTTGGTTTGGCTACACATAGTGGCATTATATGAGAGTGCATTGTACTGCAGATAGTGCTTTTCTGCCTGAATACGGTGGCACTGAATTCGCACGGTGATATACGAGAGCGTTATTTGCCGGAACTGCTTGCGTCCATACTGACAACAATCGCTGAGAAGAATGTTGCGTCGATTGACAGTCAGCTGCTCGTTCGGCTTCTCATCGCCGCCAAAGCTATTCTAAACGAAGTTGGCCAAAGTGCCGTTGTCATTGACGCTGGAGGTTCGAATCCTTTTATCCACCCTCCCCCTCTTTTTGTAAATTCAGGTTTTTTTTTGTATGGATCAGTTTACGTCGGGTCTTGACAGCCTCTAAAACTTTTTTCGACAAGAAATAGAACTGTTTTGGAACTTTGGAAACTGAACCGCATACTGTTTTATTACTCAAAGTAATGTCAGCAGCATTATCAATATTTGGGCGGGTATGCTTTGGTACCAGAATACAGAATTGTGAGCCTTTTTTTTTGTCGAATCTGAATTCAATTTTCACTTCTTTAACTACTGCCTGATTTTAGTAGTAATGCGACGGGGAGGTGAAATGACTCGTTGCGATGAGACTGATTCCATCGATAAGCCATCACCTGTTGCTGAGGAAGACGCTGTTAAAGGTTCGTTAATTTATTTCTAGTAAAGATGATACACTGAAATATTTTCATAATTGGCGGCTTAATTAAAGTTTTTAGCATTTTCTTCCCCTTTCGTCTAGAAAAAAGTATAAAATTTTAGTTGACTTGCGTTAAATTGCATCATCGATGATCTCAAAAACACATTACCAGAGATTTTATGTGTGTGTTTGTGTGTGCGTGTATGTTAGTGGGTGTGTGCGCGTTTGTGTATGTGTGTTCGTCTGTGTCTCCGAAAAAGCTACAAAAAACTGGGGAAGTAGTATTTTTCGAGCAGATTCTCGAGTCCTCTCGAATGCTATGAACGTGGAACTAATTTACACCTTTCTTTTGGTTTGTATGAATTGCTTCATTAGCTCTAGTTTTGTAACTCAAAAGCTAAGAAGGAAAGCAGTTGAAAATTTTGTCCGAAGTTTTTTTTGAAATAATTTAAAGCAGATGATTGTTGATTCCAACAGTCGCTATAGCCTGGTTTATAGTCCCTAGTTCCAGTTCAGGCTCATACTGCAGTTTGGCACGACTCCCCCATAGAAAATTCGATTTCTGGAATTTCAATTATCCGCAGTGGCTTGATTAATTGGTTGCAATTAACTTCCTAGTGTTACGATTTAAAAATTACAATTTAAAAAAATTTAAAAAATTTCAAATTTAAAACGTACAATTTAAAAATTTCCAATTCAGCTTTCCAGACACGTGGAGTACCCAAGTACGGGCATGTGAAGGTTTTGATGGAAAAATTGCTGACTTGGTAAACAGAAAAGCTGGAAAGCTGTAATTTTGAGGGAATGTTCTCTGTCCAAGTACAATTAATTGGTGGGATCTTTATTTTGATTTATTCGCAAATGGAGCATTTCCAATTGTCTTTATAAGGCCGATAAGCCCGTCATTCTTTTATCGCACTTCGCTAGTTACAAGAACTGCGTTGCTGATTTTTCGTATGTGACTGCCTACATTGACTTTTTTTACCCAGCTGTTCAAAACTGAAAGACTGTTGGTGCGTTCGGCGTTTGAGTACGTCGCAGTGATATGCTGACATCGAATCTCCACAGTTTCTGCTCGGGCACTTCTGGCGTTAATAGCCGTTTATCGGGATCATTTTGTATGCGTATTTTAGAGCAGTGGCGAGTGGAGAACTGCTTAAGTAGCTGTCAGCGACTTCTCGCTCAAATCTGTGACTGGTACTGCAAAGAACGAAACGCTGAGAGGCTGCGTGCTTTTCACGCGATTTCCGCGCTAATGATGGAATTTGCTGATTTTCCGCTCTATGTTTTGAGGAGACAGGAGAACAGAGGTATGTGTCGTGCTTCCACTCAGTTGTTGCGCGATAGCTCCACATCAGTGTTGCTGCTGCAGCTATTTTGCTGTCCTATCGGATGCCATTAGCTGCTTTACCTCTTAGACATTGTGTCTACTGAGTTAATAGAGGGGTTATTTCCTGTTACTGTGCGATAACATTCGAATCTGCAGGTCAGTGGCCTAAGAATTATTGAGGATTTGTAGCTTATAAAATGTGGTTAACTGTTGCAAAACAACTCTGGACAAACAGTTGGGTCGGAGTTGAAACGACGTACTGCTGAAATGCATGCTTGTAGTGTTAATCTCTGTACAGCTTTCTTGGTTTTAGTGGTTTTACTGGGACTTGCAAAGTTTGAGACACATTCCTAGCAAAACCATTTTTCCACAAAAGAGCATTTAAGTGCTATACATTTGCTGTTTATCGCCCAAGAATTTTTAGAAGAAATTACTAAGCTTCTGCGCTAATCAGCTACGTCACGACAGCAACAGCATTACGGAAATACAGACCTTTGCCTTTCAATTTGGCCAGTTTTTGTCGTGTGTGAGAGATGTATTAACCTCCAATGTATGTTTTTAGTAAAAGAACGCAGGCAGCGACTTATCCCGACCAACTATCCGGTTTGGTTGAGTGGTTTATTGAACGTATTGTCGCTTGACGAATGGGAAGTTTCTCTGAAC